TATCATCTGATCTTAGATCATCTCTCTTAACTGTCCTCATTTCATCTCTTATTACATGCATGTCTTGTTATACATTTCTTATTACACATGCATGAGTACTTTGATTTTTGTGCTTTTATTTCTGAAATATTAAGAGAAAAAACAGTGAGTGTTTTTGATCATTGTACATGCTTTACCTTCTAGGTTACTGAAATGTGGCAGATGTTAGTTCAGTAAACGTACAAATGAAATATATTTACCAGTGTTCTGCAAGTATATAAAGAAATATTTTCAAGAAATATGCTTAAACATGTTATAACATACATCCGGGGCAGGTGGGTGTTGAACCTGAACTACCTGGCCCAGAGGTAGGGACACAACATTGTGCAACAAGAGCCCTTATTGAGTCAGTGTATTTTCTACTAAAATCAGTGTGTGTGACTAAATTGGTGTCACCAAATTTATTTTGGATAAACTATTTTAAGTTGCATGTTTCCATCTTGCCCTACCCCAGCTTGTTCTTTATGTCATAACTGCAGGAATATGGTGACATTGTACATGAAATTCCAACATAACAAAATGATTGTCCCTGTGATTCCTGGCAGTGCACAGCACCTAATTTCAGTCCTATCACTGTAGATAAGTGTTGAGTTGAAATCAAATGCTGGCTAATGGTGAAAAACAAATAAAAAACAAACAAATGAAATTGATTAAAAACTGAAAGAACTGTGGCCGCTGGAAATGAAGAACAAAAACAGAAATTGCTGAAAAAACTGAGCAGGTCTGGCAGCATCTATGGAGAGAAATCAGAATTAAGATTTCAGGTCCAGTGACCTTTCTTCAGAACTCCATGAAACTGATAGTTGACCTTTGTCAACTGGCTTTTAGTGTTGAATTGCGTGCAGCATTGCCAGAGGGCTAGTCATACGTCACTTGCTCATTCAGCCTCAATGGTTACATTGGAAAGGCAATGATATAATGATAAAGTCACTGGAGTAAGCTAATGGCTTAAAGTAATGGTTTAAGGATGCGGTTTCAAAACACATTGTAACAATCATTAATTATCATTTTCATCATTTATCTAAACAGAGGAACAGAAGATTTGGGAGCAGAAATAAGCCATTTGGCCTTTTAGTCCTGCTGCGCCATTCAACAAGATCACAACTGATCAATTCCACTTTCTCATCTGCACCCGATCCATATCCTTTGACTCCCTTGTCTATTAAAAATCTATTTATGTCCCCTTGAGTAAAGTGAATAATCAATCTCTATTGCTTTCTGGGGAAGAGAATTCTACAGACTCACAAACATCCATGGGAAAAATATTGTCCTAATCTCTATCTTAAAAATAATCCCTCTTATTCTTAAACTTTGTCCCTTAATTCCAGTTTCTCCTAAAAATGGAAAATTGTAATCAACGCTTCTGCTTACTTTGTAGCCACTTCGTTTGAAAACCAAGGATAGTGTCCTTCATGTGCTGGGGGATCTAGACTTTTGGTCTAACAGTTTTCCCAGCACCTCCTCCCTAGCACTTGTGGTGATTGGTTTTAGTTCCCCTTTCTTCCACTTCATGATTTCCAGTGCCTTTAGGAAATTTTCTGTCTTCCACAGTGAAAACAGATACAAAATACCTTTTCAATGCAGCCAACATTTCCTGGTTTCTGTCATTTCCTCAGACTCACCCTCTAGAATACCAATGTTAGAATTTATGCTGTTCTTTTCTATTTAAATACTTAAATATTCTTACAACTTTATTTAATATTAATAGCTAGCTTACCTTCTTGGTCCACTTTCTCTCTTTTTATTGTCTTATTTGTCATAGAGTCATGCAATTATACAACACAGAAACAGACCCTATAGTCCAACTTGTCCATGCCAATCAGATATCCTAAACTGATGTAGTCCCATTTGCCAGCTTTTGGCCCATACCCCTCTGAACCCTTCCCATTCATGTACCCATCAGATGTCTTTTAAATGTTGTAATTGTACCCGCCTCCACCACCTCCTCTGGCAGCTCATTCCATATATGCACCATCTTCTGCATGAAAAAGTTGCCCTTCAGGTCCCTTTTAAATCTTTCCCCTCTCACCTTAAACTTATGCCTTCTAGTTTTGGACTCCCCTACCATGGTAAAAATACCTTGGTTCTTCACCCTATCCATGCCCCTCATGATTTTATAAACCTCTATTAAGTCACCCCTCAGCTCCGACACTCCAGGGGATAAAGCCCCATCCTATTCAGCCTCTCCCTATAATTCAAACCCTCTAATCCCAGCCACATCCATGTATATATTTTCTGAACACTTTCAAGTTTAACAACACATTCCCTTTAGCAATGAGACTGGAATTGAATGCAGTGTTCTACTAGTGACCTCACCAATGTCCTGTACAGCCGTAATATATTCCCTCTTGTCCTTAAAATCTGACTAACCTTCTAAGTAAACACTAACCTCTGCAGGATTGTGTGGTATTTCTTTTAATATGGTAGTATGCTTAACTTGCTTATTTAGCCATGAACGATGCATCCTTCTGCAATTATGTTTCTTACTCATTGGGATAATTTTTTTCCTCAGAGTTACCAAATATCTCCTTAAATGTCTACTACTGCATCTCTACTTTCCTACTGTGCAACCTAGTTTCCCAGTTAATTTTAGTCAGCTTTGGCTTCAAACTGATACAATTATCTTCATTAGATTTATACACTAGTCTTAGAACCAGGCTTCATCTCTTCGAACTGAATTTGAAATTCTGCCATGTTAAGATTTCTATTGCCTAGGGGTTCCTTTACCAAGATGTCATTAACTAATCCTGGCTCTGAATCTATCAGTCACTTCAATTAGTGGTAAAGTGTTAATCCAGAGATCCAGGTAATGTCCTGCCGACCTGGGTTCGAATCATGCCATAGCAGACGGTAGAATTTGAATTCAATACAAAACTGGAATTTAGGCTCTAACGATGACCATGAAACTATTGTTGATTGTCATATAAACCCATTTGATTCACTAATGTCCTCTTGGGAAGATAACTGCTGTCCTTACCTGGTGTGGGCAACATGTAATTCCAGACCTACAGCAATGTGTTTGCCTCTTAAGTCCCCTCTGGACAATTAGGGATGGGCAATAAATACTGGCTTGGCCAGTGACACTCACATCCCATGAATCAATTCAAAAAAAATTCTCAGAAGTCAATTAACAATGTATTATGCATCCTATGAAAACATTCTTTTGCAGGAGCAAATTGCAAATAAAAAAGTCCATTTACAGCTATTCTATTCTCAGATTTAAACACAAAAGCATAGCTTTCTTACTTTCCCTAACATTAATTCAAGACTGTCTTTACATTACAAATATCCAACAGCTATTTGGAATAACAAGTTGTAGAGCTGGATGAACACAGCAGGCCAAGCAGCATCAGAGGAGCAGGAAGGCTGACATTTCAGGCCTAGACCCTTCTTCAGCTATTTGGAATGTTTAATTTACATCACGGCAGATTCCACAAGATATGACGTTCATGAGATTGTCATACACCAATATGTGGGTGCATTACAGTATAAGGTATTCAGAGTAACAATATCAAATATTCTTTGTTAAATATTAGTAAAGCAGAATTTCCATGTGCAGAGATTCTGTATTTTGCTAGTCAAATATGTCTTAATTACAGGAAGGAAAGGCTACATCAAAATGACAGAATTAAGAAGGTCTTGAGTTCCTGTTGTTTTCTGCTTAATTCTGACACATTACAAAATGATGCCTCATGTTTTCAGAATCTCAAATGGCGCAGTGAGTTTAGAGCACCAATGATGGTCACAGGTTATGTAAATATCATACTCAGTAAACTGCATCCTTACTTTGTGTATTTCCATTAATGAATACACAAAAATGCATGTAAAATGTTGCAATCCTGAATGGAGAAGAAAAATACAGTCAAAATACAATTTGCCACAATGGCTGTTCAGAATGCTCCAGCTCAGTAGTTCAATGGCATTTCTTCCTAAAGTTACAAGTGCACGTAAATTCTACATTTGCATCTAAACAATCGTTATACAGGGCAGGGCCCTGCTATTTAACCTATTGGATAAAGTGGGTACTTAAAGGATAGAAAATGATGATTTTCCAGTCAACTGCTTTCTAGTGTCAGAGGTTTGTAGTTTAATGTCGCAAGCTTTAGATTTTTACTATTCATGTCGATTCCGGTGACACATAATGCAATCTGTAATTCAAATTTGCCGTTTTGATTGAAGACGCTGAAAAACATTCTGTAAACTGCACCACAGTATCCTGACGTGGTTGTGTCGAGTGGAAGAACTCTGCTTTAAACACAAAAAAAATGCTTGTTTCCTACTGGCGAAGACGATCAGGATGAAAACCTTTTTTATGGGTATATTCCTGGGACTGTTGAATGCTCCATATTCTCCTTCTATGAGCAGAACACAAGCACTGACAACCCTGAAGACTGAAACCTGGGGGAAAGCCAGTCCTTGTTGCAGACTGCCTGCCCAGTCCTCTACTTTCACTACTCAATGGTGCAATCTAGCCACTTGACGTCAGATGCGATAAAGGCCACAAACATTCAACAAGAAAAGCAACTGAAATGGAATTTTATACAAACTGGTCTCTAAAAGGTGTCTGCTTGCACAGGGAGCTAATGTACCTAATTGGCCTGGCCTTCCTCTTTGACATTGAACCGAGAGGAATGGTCAGGTTCTGACTGAGGGTCTGGAGACTGGGGTGGGGGGAGGGGGG